CCCCCCCCCCCCGGCCCGGTCCACCTCGGCTGTGTACCCAGTTGCAGTGCAGCCTATTAATAGTGGAAAAACAATACTCAATCTTGGGAAGATCGGTCAAGTGGACCTAGGAAAATATGGGACAGCTGCTGCATGCACCAACACACCATTTACGTGGCGGCGCCCATGTGTCTGTCCTAAAATCACCACGCCGTCTGCTACAGCAGCAGCAAAAAATGTTCGTGCGGAAATCAATCTCTCCCCCCCTGGTAGGGTCCGTATCAACGAATCCTAAAACTGTGCCATCTCATCCGCTACTTGCGATAACCGCGCAGTCCAATCTATTCGCAAGCGCGCATCCTACACGCTCGCCAACAGCGGTCGCAGTGGTATCATCACGGGCCAAGGCCATTTCCGGTTGGGTGACTGCCCTAGCACAGCAGCGACGAACCCCTGCTGGGGATAAGGGCTATCTTGTCTTCATCTGTGCGCCAAACAACCCCAAACGTCAAACAAAAGTCCTGTGTTGAAAAACCAAGGACACCAAGGTGTAAGGTGAGAAGACATCAACAGGCGAGAGGTGAAGCGAGCGGGGGCGACGGCGAGAGGTAACTGCAGGGCGGGGTGTACGGGGTAAGACAATACGCCGATACCCCGTCAACAAGGAATACGCGCTACTCCCAGCGGTGGGCTTCTGCAGCGGACGGGGGCGAGGGCAAGGGCGTATATGCTGTAGTTTGGGTGCTGTTGCAACAGAGCAGCACAACGCGGGGGTGAGCGGGTGGGGGGGGTGCCGCTGCTGGGACAAGGTTGTTACAAAAGTAGGGAGGGAGACTGTCCCACCGCTGACACCGAGGCTGCTGTAACAGCCGCTGGAACATCCGAAAAGTCGAGGCAGAGCAGGCAGCTGAGGGCAGCAGGAGCAGCAAAAAAAAGGAAAAATGACGAATGCCTCCTGACACAGAATCTAAACCAGCGGCAGCAGACACCAGTCTAGCCGCGTTTTGGGGGGCATCTTGACGAGACGAAAGGATGTTCAAAAAATTTCGTGTGATGTGCCTATGCAAAACTACAGGCTTTTCACTCGCATGTTTGCACATGGTGCCTCCCTATTTACGCCTCTTCTTTTCTCTCTCGCGGGTAGATGCTGGGGAGCGGAACGAGTGCTGCTGGAAGTCGGGCATCCCTTGCAAACAGACACCCTTCTATCTTGAGCGGTTCTTTTTACGTTAAACAATTCTTGTCGATAGACCCATGTACAGATAGCAGCATCCTCACTCGCTTCCCGTGCATGAGGGGGCTGCCGGCTCACGGTTCGTCGGCGGTAGCGCGGAACACAAACAAGCCAAGAGCGGCCAGCAATGTATCACACGAAAATTCAAGCGTTCGTGTTCTGCGATGCTATTTTATGTTGTCCTCGGGGGTGTATGTATGTAGTACCTATCCATCACATGATGCTGTAACGCAGTTTATCAACACCCATGGGTCATTACTAACTACCCCCACAATAGCGCCAACGCAAAGCAGCCCTAACCGTGCCTCGCCAGTGGTCGTGCCAAATGACACAACAAAAATAGACACAGCAGCTGGGCAGGGAGACAGAACAGAGGGGGGGATGTGTCACCAACAACGGCAACACCCACCCCAGCTTCCTCTAAACTCGCCACGTAACAAACGCATGGGGAGACCGGCGTTTTCTTGCCAACGAGGTATGTAGGCGATGAGGCGTGCAAGCTGAGGATTTTTCACGTCATGGTAACTCTGCCGCATGTTTTTTCTGTTCCAGCTGCTGACATTGCCACCATTTCTACCCTGGTTACGCGAAAGGGAGCTGGCACGGAGGCAGCAAACTTACCCCCCCCCATGTGCACGAAACACCCGGGCGGTGTTGATACTAATAAAAGTATTTGTGTAGTTCTTCACGAAGACATGCGGTAGTTCGTGTGGGCGAAAAGATAAATGCTCCAAAATACCTTCCATCAACACACACGCTCCTGCTGCTGGTGCTGCTGGTGCTGCTGGTGCCGCTGCTGCGCACATCACCCTCTTGCAATGGACCCCAAAACCCTACTGCTGCTGCCTAGCGCGCGAAATCTCCCCCCTCCCCTCCAGACACGTCGGCATAGAATACATATATGGTTCCGAGAAGAAGCGAAAGAGAGTTGTCGCGTCTCGGCACACGGGTCATTCGGCGGCGTTATGGCGAGCTCTTACCGCCGAGAGCACAGTGTACATGTCCGCTGGTTCGTAGGAAGCACATCCAGCGGGCAACGCAAAGACGCACAGACTGCTAGGGCACGGCGCCTTTGCGCCACGACAACAGCGAGACGGCCCTGCTGCTGCTGGCTCAACGGCCATCACAACTCCCTCTCTTGGCCAAAAAGTCTCGTGTTTCGTTATTCCTTTTTCTGTCAACAAATCCGGTGGTGTTTTTTGTGCACGTTTTTTTGGTCAATGAAGGCTGAGTGATGCGTGTGCGTGTCGGGGGGGAGGGCACGGCGACGCGTTGCTGAGAGACACTGCGCAGCGGCGGCGGCAGCAGCAGCAGCAGCAGCAGCAGCAGCAGACTCGGTGCAAGAGAGTCCTTGGGCGCACGGCGCGATTAATTGCAACGCTCGCCCCCCTTCAGGCTACGGGCAAGCTGCGGTTGCTAATTAGGTAACCTCTCCGGGCCGCAGAAAAAATAGAAGACGCACTCTCAGAAATGGCGATGGCGAGAGGAGCAGAAAGCAGGAGTCAGTTCCCAAAAAAATTGCGCCGAGAACGATTGATTTCGGGAGGGAGTGGCGGCCGTGTCCAGTCCGTTCTTCATCGACCCTCTCATTTGGTGGATGAAAAGCCCGCCACGGCAGGCGACGAGAGGGGAGAGGTCTGTGCACCAGCAGCAGAACGATATCGCATGTTGTGATTAGGGAGTGTGGGCTACCTCCCTCTCTCTCGATGTGTCTTGATTTTAGACTCGGACACCCGAGTTTGCGAGCCGCTGGAGAACACACCCACAGGGGGACAAGGAGACAACCAATGGAGGAATCTCGTTGCACAAGGTCTGGCGTGCTTGCAATGGCATAGGTACGCGTGTGGGCGCCCGCACGCCTCTCGCTCTGTCTTCCTCCGATGCTTCCCCCCCCCCTTCTCTCACTGCTGTCTCCCATCGCTTCGGCCGCTAGAACGGAGAATACGTTCGACTGGGACACAGCACCCGCGGGTGCATTTTCTCAAGAAAAAGTCTCAAAAACACTTTGCACACCCACCCACCCACCCACCTGTTCTATAGACAAGCCCCAGGCACCAGCAATAGGACAAGGTCCGTCCTTGGTCCCCCTTCACTCTCTCTCTCTCTCTCTCTCTCACTTGCTCGCTCTCTCTCTGCTGCCTCGCTCTCTCTCGCGCCAAGAATGGCGCAAGCGCTCAACAGCTACTTGCGAGTTGCGTTTCGCAGCAAAACCGGCTGTGTGCTGTGTGTGTAGATGGAGAGAGGTAGATGGAGCGAAAAGTCCTGACGACGCCAAAGATATATGTTGCGCCGCCGCCCCGCCCGCCGCCGAGCTTGTTGCTTGTTCCCACTACTCAACACCGGAGTGTGGGAGGGACATGGCGTTTCGCTGCCATGCGTGATTGGACGCTTGCCATAGATGCTTGGTCCCTTTTCGTTTGTGGTGTCGGCTTGGACTACGCGCGGCCCCTTGAGTGTCTTGTGAGAACAAGGACCTCTGTTAATTGTCTGGATCTTGTGGAAACATGCATGTGATCATTTGTGCATACCGAGAGAGAAAGCATTTGTATCGCTAAGTCTACCTATGCGTGGTCTATGCACCTCGGGTACAGAGAGGCTGCTCTGTTGTGTACAGTAGATAGGGGAGGGTGGCCGATATGTTCTTGTCCATCATACTTCCTCCCCGTTTTCCCTTGCGGGGGGGATGGTTCGCACGTCCGCACGCTGTGCGGTTGGTATGCAAAGTATATGCACGGCAGCCGCCGCGTGCAGGCATACGCACATGCATCGGTGCGGATGGAAGTATCGCACACGTGGGAATTTGAGCTATATACTGTCTCAGGTCCCGATCAATTTCGTGGGAGGAGACACGTTCGAAACCAACAGCACCGCAGCAGCGATTGGGTCTTGTTGCATAGCAATATTTGTACACAGACAAGTATAGTCTTACGTACGCAGCAACAGTCCTACAGCAGCTAGCTGGAGTCACGTGCACACCGGTGTGCAACCATCAATCTTGTGCTCTCCCGTGTAATCAGGCTTCGTGTCAGGCCCGCTTCATCAACCACAGCTGAGAAACAGCCTAAGCTCCTACTGCTTTACCAGAAGAACAAAAGGCAAGCCGGTGGGACGAACGACATTGTTGTCGCGGACAACCTATGAAATAATGAATACCATCGGCGAGCTTGGGCACCTGCTGCCCGGACATGTCGATTCGCCCCAACATACTGACAGCAGTAGTGGATATTGCGCGACACACAGGGCCAACCTGAGAGAAAGAATCGGGCTGCCGCAAACAAAGCGAAAACATTAGTGCCAACGGTGCAGGCTCCGTAGCTGAATCACCATCTCACCCCGTTCGACACATGAACGACCTACAGAAACAGCGAATCGGGTACTACAGCAATACTGCGAACGGGAGATCCCGCTTTTCTCCAACCGGCTCTGGAAGCTGGCTATCACGGTTTGGTGATCATCATCACGCGAAAACGCTCTGCTTCCCTGTCTAGCTCAATAGCTCACGCTACCTCATGGGACGGGATGAACGAGAGCCCCGCCCCCCAAGACACCTTTGGCAAAGTAGGAAGGAACGATTGACCATACGGTGATTGGTCTTGTGGGAACAACGCTCCGTCCTCTCGAGGACTCGTTGTGAATGATCTAACCGCTGAGGAAGCAAATCATCAGAGTACATCCCCCCCACCCACCCCCCGGTCCCATCCATTATCCCTGGTCAGTTACATGGACAAAGTCGAACACACTCGGACTAGATACGTGCACCTACACCAGCGAGTGGGCAAGACCAGCGTGTGGGATCTCTCTCACGCGCACTTGGTGATACAAAATGATGATGGCACGGGCAGACATCAGCCGCAGAAGTAGCCAACCCCTCGCCAATCTAAGTAGCGCGAACACGCGAAGGAGCATTCCGGGGTGTGTGGACGAAGGCAGCCAGGCGGCGACACTACCCTCGCCAAGCAGAACACACCCCGCTGCTTGCCCGGTGGCTTGTTGCCCACGCTACAGAAATACACATACACAAGTCAAATCTAATCCCACAAGCGTGCCTCCTGCGACTGCTGTTTGTCTCCCCCCCCCCCAGGTCCAACCCCAGGGCGTGGGTCGGACGCATCCCTCTAGTCGCCAGCGCATTTTTTTACCGCGCTGTGGCAGTAACTCAACAACGCCAACAGCCAGATAGAGCCCTCTCCCTTTATTCACACGCTAGCGCAGCACGCTGGGACAAAAGCCACGACAGGCTTGGTTCGTTTCTTTCCCGTCCCAATCTCGCCCCCGCAGCAACAAGAAACACCATGGCATTACGCCTGGTCTACAAGGCAGTAACCAGGGCGGGGGGGTGGGCGGGCGGCCCCGTGGCTGCGAACGGGGTTACTTCTTGCCTCCGCGTAGTCCGGCTGCGAGCAAGTCATCGAGGTCTGCCTTGGGGTTCTTGCCCTGTCAATAAGGAAAAAAAAAAACGGAAATCAAACAAAACATGAGCACAGGCCACCAACAGCCAGAAAATGACGCACCAGAAGGGGCGAACAGGGAGGAAGAGAGACTGGCCATGCTGTGCCGCCATAACAGGGCCGAAGAACAATGACGGAAAACATGAAACATTTAGTCTGAAATCTTGTAGATACTGCGGTCCACGAATTAGGAATACGGGTCGCAACTTTGAAGTGCCGGCATCAAGTTCGTTGCGCGGACCACTCGACCCGGCCGCCCATTGAACGCCGCCAGCGTCAGACCGTGACACAAAGTGAAGGTATTTTCTGGTCGGCCAAAGCTCGGAGAATGCGCGGCCGGCGCCCGGAGCGCCGAGAGGAAACCTCTCGAGTGACCCTTTTGGGACGGATATGCACCAACGTGCTACGTGAATGCAGTGTGCGTGATTGTATAATCTGCATCGACCGCGCTAATCGGCTGACCAATGAAAACAACTCAGTGCCAGCCGGAAAGAATGAAGAAGGCCCGCGGGGGATAGTCTAACCCTCAGAGAACGGGCGGCGCCCAGACTGCCAAAGCAAACAAATCTATGCATGGGGGCGTGTGCGTGATTGTTGCTTGTAAGGCCAACGTTTGGACGTGCGGCTGGCAACACGCGAAACGGTTCAAAATACGCTTGGAATACAATCTTTCGGGCGGTTTCGGTAAGATGGTTCGCTTTTCGTCCGCGCAAATAAAGGACGATGCCCACAGAGCACCCCGGTGTCGGTCAGCTTCCTGTTACCCCTGCCGCGGACCCTTGCACGCTCTACAGCACGCGGGGTGTGTGATCGGCCTATGCTCTACGCTTTCCGACTTGAAAGGGGTGGGAGCCTGATCCCTCCTTTCTATGCACCAAATACGGCCAATGTTATTGTCCAAGACACAGGCAAACGCAGACAAGCGGTTTCCGTGCCTTAATCGCGCTGAGACTGACGTCTTTTCATCGGTCAGCCGGTTACCGCGGTCCATCCTAACCAAGAAGACAAACATGTACACACGCTTTTTTACCCCGCTATGCGACTGGCCTCTTGATCATTGGTCAGCCGGCTAGCGCGGTCGATGCAAATTCAAGCACACACGCACTGCCTGCTACTGCATCCTGCCGTATTGGTACCCCAGAAGCAGGACTCTGTCGTCCAATTCCTGCGCCCCTCCCTGTCGGTACAACCCTTTCATTAGAAAACGCGTTGGCGTTCTTTATTCCGCTACATATAAAAACGCATTTTCATCAGTCAGCCCGTGAGCGCAGTGCATGCAAAAAAAAAAACACACGCACGCACACACGCGCGTTTTTTATCCCGCTATACGACTGGCGTCTTTTCATCGGTCAGCCGGCTGTTGCAGCGCCATCGATGCTGACAATAAACAGACACACACACACACACACACACACACACACACACACCTTCAGCTTCTTGGCATTGGTGGTGCCCCTGACGGCCACACCCTGCGTTGTCCCACCGTGCTTGGCCTGTACGTCTTCGTAAAGCGATGGGTCCCAGGGCAGCTTCACATGCTTCGATTCGTGGTGGGCCTAAGGGTCGGGGGGGGGGGGGGGGGGGGGGGGGGGG